TACTTTAGTTAATGACACTTTTGAAGACAACCAAAAGCCTCTGAACCTAACATCTGAGATAAGATACAAGATTAAGTAAACTCTTAACAAGCCTCTTTGTCTTAACAAGCCTCTTTGAATCTTTTCTGATTATTATGACATTTTTTGAAATTTATAGGTAGTTTGTATATGGAGAATACTGCCAATTCTCATATTTTATATGGAGAACACTGCCAATTCTCACAAAATGTATTTGTTAAAGCAGATGATTCATTAGAAACTAGCTGAGATTGGACCCGTAAAATACAGGTCATCGTAAGTCTATTCCAAACGGAACTTTTCTATACTTTTTCCTTATAAATCCTAGTTTTCTGGATTCATAAAATATGGGTCATATATTTAAAAATATGGATAAAAATATGGGTCTTATATTTAAAAATATAGATAGTTAGGCGCCAAACCTGGCAATACAACAAAGTTTAAAAAAAAATTAGTTTTATGTTTTTTTGTAAACACCAATATACTACACTTAAAATGTTTAAGTGCACAGAACTGCAATTACTTTTAATTTTTTTGGTTTAGTGGCTTTTGTTAAGAGCTTTTAAATTTTGCGTTAAATTATCTTATGTCAACATATTCGTTGTACCATACATAAAAAAAAATCAATTTCGACTTTTTTACAAAATAAGCTAGTTCAGACATCTACAAACGTTATTGAATGCATATTTTTAAAGAGTTCTGAAAAAATTCATAAAAATTATTGGTTTCAAAAAACATTTTACAAAGAGTTTCTCCGAATAATTTTTTTTTAATAGTGTTTTTCTAGAAATACATAATAAGCATATTTGGGCGTTTTGAAAAACGGCTGCAGCATATATTTATAGTAAAAAAATAAATGTACCAAAAAAAACTTTTAATTGTCAAAAGAAAGTTTTGTATTTTTTTCTAACTACAGGCTTTTTTTTTTGTCTCAACAACAGTTTTTTCTGGAGTAGCAGGACTGTCTTATTAAGTTTTTTCTTTATTGAGTTTCAGAAAATTTTATTTTTCAGACCATCCACAGCTTATTAGCTCTAATTTCCTGAGCATATTAATAACATTAGTATCTCAATCATGACACAATACACAACACATTTTTTCTTCCGGTGTTATAATGTTTTTAGAAATTTTAGCTTTTTTAAAAATCTTTTTGTTAGTTAAAATGTATAATTTCGTTACATATGTTTGTATATAATCTCTATAAAACTTCAAAAGTTTGTATTTTAATCTTGTATTTTAAAATAATCAAAAAAAAAAAAATCTAAAGTGGTAGAACTTGAATCACGTCAAAATTGTTTTACTAAAAAATATTGAAGTTAATAAGGAATAGATATATAAATAAAAGGTGTGGAATAGATATGTATAGAAATGGTAGGTTTGGTAAAGACCCATATTTTATGAATCCAGAAAGCTAGGATATATAAGGAAAAAGTATAGAAAAGCTTCGTTTGGAATAGACTTATATATAATGATTTTTTTAACAGAAATTAATGCTATAGATCAAAATTAAGGAGAGCTTGACACAATGCAATTTTCAAGCGAAAATCAAACTGTAAAACTTGAAAAATGTTTCAGTTTTTAACATTACTTAATTTGAAGTTTACGTAGGTAAGATATTTTCATACACTTTTGCTTATGTTTGCTTACAACAAAATGTACTGTGATGTTTTCTCGCTATTACCTTGGTTGCAATGGCTGTCAAGGGTTCCGCATCAAACCCGCTTGAAGGGGCTAAAAGCATTAAGTTCGGCAATAATATATATATATATATATATATATATATATATATATATATATATATATATATTATATATTATTTTATATTATTGTATATTGTATATTATTGTATACTGTATATTATTGTGGTAATGCTGAAGTGGTAAAATGAGATCCAGAAAGCACACAGTAATTATTATGTTTATACAAATTGATTCTCTAGGGATTAAATTATCAGATGCTGTAGTTGTTGGGATAATAGACATAAAGTGTATTGGTTTGACACTAACAATGTTCTTTTAGATATCATACATACCTGGAATATAACTATTGAAACTTTGTAAGGAGCTGTAGTTTTTATTGTAGTTGCACGTGGTGTTAAAACATCTCGATCATAATCGGGTAACGATTTAGGTGTAGATATTGTTTTTATTCAAATTAATGTGCATCTATACATATTCCTTTACTGACCTACAGCAGTCGCATCACTTTCAACATCATAAACTATATATATGAAAATTTATATATATATATATATATATATATATATATATATATATATATATATATATATATATATATATATATATATATATATATATATATATATATATATATATATATATATATATATATATATGTATATATACGACCGACAGGAAAGACATGCATTTGTACTCCTTGTATAAACGCATAACTTGTAATCTTGACCATGCATGTAATTTTTTTTTAAAAGCTTGACCACGGCAATTTAGATAATTAAAAACGTGCTGAATAAAATCGATTAAGGAGAAAATGTTAAACAGGCTAAACTTTATAAGAAATAAAGAAATCTTAACAAAACAGAAATTAAAAATAAAAATTAAAACCTATAGCTCTAAAAAAAATCAACTTATATAAATCTGAAACTCTAATAAAAAATTATTTTTAATAATGTTTTGTAATTTTGTTAAGGTTGAATTAATAATTGAATTGGTTTCTAACCGATTTTTTTTTATATGAGGAGAAAAGCAAATAAATCTTTTTTTCTTTTTTTTAATGTCTAAATAAAAATATTTATATGATTATTTTTTATTTATTTATGTATTTTATATATTAATCAAAAAAAGTATGTCTTTTATATATTAATCAAAAAAAGAATGTTTTTTATATAAGGCGAACTCTTTTAAATAAAAAAAAACTAACATCTAATTATCAAATAAAAAACATCTAATTATTATTTAATAAAAAACTTTATTTAAATTATCAAAAAGTGTTTTTTATAAAAGTTTATTGAAACGTGTTCGTTGTTGTCGTTGTTTATAAAATTAGGAATACAAATTGTTTGAAAAAAATTACATTGATCATTAAAAAAAAATACTTTTGAAACAAAAGTTTTTATATTTTAAGATTTATTTGATAGCCTTTTAAAACTTTCTTTAAAAGCGCTCAGTTTAGTGTAAACAAATTTTATTAGAAAGTTTACATAGCATAACAAAAAAAAAAAAAAATAAAAAAAAAAACTTTGTTATGTTTTGGACTGTTAAATTTATGGATTCATCAAAAAGTTTATTAAAACAATTATTTTTATTGTTGTTTATAAAATTAATTGTACGAATTGTTTTAAACAATTTATTCATCGTAAAAAATATACATTTTAACAATATAACATCTTTTAATAATTTAAATGTCTTTTATAGTATACAATCTTTAAAAGCAGTTTTTCGCTTTATTACTTTATACTCTATTTAGTGCATTTTTGAAATGTTTTCAAAAATCTAAAAAGCTGTGGTTAAGTTGTGAGTGGGATTGCATGCCTTTCCTGTTAACGACTGCAAGAGTGGAGAAAAGCTCTCCTAAAATGAACATGGCAAGCCATGGGAGAAGCTCCTCTAAACAGCTTTTTACAAGAACTTTTGGTTTATGTGCAAGCTATTTTTTTATTTGTTAAAAAAATTGCTTGTTAAATACAAAATGTAATTTTATACTTGTTACAACCATATACATATCAATTGTTACAAGAATACATAACAAACAAAAAGTTGTTTATCATTACGTGAAAAACGCTTTTTTGTAATAACTCTTTCAAGAATAATTGCAGCTTATAATGCAATTATTGGTTTATTTCAAAAATGACTTTTGTATTTTTCATCTTAACTACAATGATAATGGTTTTCTTTGATAAACAACTTTGCAGACCAGATTGTCATCAATGTTATAGTTATATTGAATTTTACGCAAAAAAAAAAAAAAAAAACTAAAAAAAAAAGTATTTTGTAAGCAAAAATGTCAATCTGAAACATAAATTTGTCTTTTTATTCAATGTAATTTGCACAAGAATTTTTAATTTTTTTATTATCTAAAAATATAAAGAAAAAGAAAGTAAATTATATTTATGGAAAAAAAAAGTCTTTGTAAGAGCCATAAACTGCTCTTGTAAACTTCTTTAGCAGAGTGGGGGTGTGCTTATAATCACCTGTTGTTTTAGTTTTTTTACATTGTCTAATAAACATTATTAGCAACTTTTACATAACATAAGGTTGTTAAATTATTTAAAACCACAAAACGCAATAAAAAACATTGTTAAGTAAAAATAAAATAATACACAAAATATAATACTGTGGAATTAAATTTGGGGCAGATTGCATGGTGCCTTCAATAATTCATGCTGAATTTTTTTTATATCAAAAAAGTATTAATTTATATATATATATATATATATATATATATATATATATATATATATATATATATATATATATATATATATATATATATATATATATATACATGTATATGTGTATATGTATATATGTGTGTGTATATATATATATATGTGTGTGTATATATATATATATGTGTGTGTATATATATGTGTATATATATATATATATATATATATATATATATATATATATATATATATATATATATATATATATATTTATATATATAGCACTTTTTACTCATTTGTTTAGAATGTCTGTAATTGTTGCTACTGCCAGGAAACATTCTTATACAAAAGTATAATTTCTTTTTAAACTAGTGCATTGTGGGCCAGAAGCGAAATTAGGAATGCAATGATATATTTTTGATAAAGTCAAATAGTATCAAAAATGAAATTGCCAGAGAAGATAGTTCACTAGTAACTTTATTCACTAAAATATATTCACATAAAACACAAATATTGTTTAGTAGCTTATTTAGTAATTTATTTTTGATACTCAAGGTTGTTGTTGTTGTTAGTAATAAACAGGTCAAATAATATGGGAAAAAAGTCATTAATAAACACTTTTTCTTAAAAACACTTTTCACTTTTTTTTAAATTTTTTTTAATGTAAATTTCCTCTATGAAATTTTTCTTTGAAAATTTTATATTTAAATCCATTTGAAATTCTATAAGTATTCTAATATATAATTATGGAAATTTACATTAGTAAAATAAAACAATTTCTTGCGTCAAAGTTAATTTTGGAACATTTTGAATAGTGAGCCACTATCTGTTATAAATGGGGCAAGTTTGGATGCGACTTGGGTTTTGTAATAAATAGTTGAAATTTTATATTCAGTCTAGCAACTGGGGTAGCTGTTTTATTGTCTTTCTACACATTAGAGTATCTTATTAATTTCGTTTTATGCCAGTGTATGTTATTCATTTATAAGGGCAAATTTTTTTTGTATGAAAAATGGAAAAAACTTGCATATTAATAGTATACAAACACAAAAAAAAAAAAAAAATTATAGTTTTAATAAAATAATAAAAATAAATTCTTTAATTTACACGAATATATCTAAGACATTTATAAATTCTTTAATATACACGAATATATCTAAGACATTTAAAAATTCTTTAAATTATTTTGGTAGTAAAAGCTTTATCACTAATATATTCTAAAATTTGATGTTTTTTATACAAATTTTTTTTTTGATTTTAAGTAATCCTAATGGAGATAAAACATTCAACAGCATTAAAATGGAGATAAAACATTCAGCAAAACATTTAACAGCCATTTTTTGCCATCATGGTATTTTTGTTGATTCCAAATAAGAAATTAATTTTTCAGTATATGACCTTAGTTTTGATGCTTTTTCCCACGCTTCTGACCCACTTTATAACTATTTAAATGATAAAATGTTTAAAATATAAATCTATTTAGTGTTAAATAGACTTGTTAATTAGTATAATTGTTGTTAATAGAAATAATTATAGTTCAGATTCAATAATTAATTTTGCATATGTGTTTAATTTTTAATTTTTATTTATTTTTTTATTAGGTAATGATTGGTGATACTGCAAGTGATTTATCAATAACACTTCTCTGCAACATTCTACAAGGGAACGGCAATGCTATTCCTTTTGAGATTGTTAGTTTTTTTTTAAGAAGTTAGTTATTTGTTAGATATTGGTATTTACACAATTCACTCAAGTGTTATATAGCATTATTTAATGATCAATACAAATGACACTTGCGATAAAATAACAAAACTTTAACTACATAATGAAATAATTACATTGTAGTTATTTAATTATGTCTAGTCTGGTTTGAGGTGGTTGTCAACTGTCACTTGAGGTGGCAGTCAACTGTCACTTGAGGTGGCAGTCAACTGTCGCTTGAGGTGGCAGTTAACAAGCTTATATTTTGAAAGACATAATGGCTGTTGGTTAGTTATGTTATTTAATGGGTTTTTTTGGACAGGCTAGTTTAAAAATTTATTGCACAGTCCAATTTGGTTTAGTTAAAATTAAGATATTTTTAAGGTTGTAAAATGGAATTTCAGACTTCAGATTCCAAAAATTTCAGATTCCAAAAAATTCAAATTTTATATTGAAACAAGCAGTAAATTATTTTCATTACTTGCAATCTTTACTTGCAATAACTTGTTATTTGGTTTTAAGGGGGTTGCTGACAAGAGATACAGTGATATCGTTATTATACGACCACTAAGGTAAATGACTTTTTTTGTTGTCAAGTATTTAAATGAATTTAATAAGAAAAATATCTAGTAATAATTGTATTATTAGTTATTTTCATAATGTAGAGAATTTAGCTCAAAAGAAGTTGCATTATACACCAGACTTAATCATCTAAGTTTTACAGTAGTGCCCAATATATTAACCAAGGTTGTTTTTTTAGTTGTTTTTTAAATATAATTGAATTGTATTTTATTATTTGAAATTATCTTTGAGATTTTAACTTTTCTTTTTCTTTTATTTTCATTTATTACAAACTTATTATATATAAAATATTTATGGATTGAAAATGTTTATGTTCTTTAACAATATAATATCTATTTTCAAAAAGGTTTTTCTTTACTAGTAATCAACTAATGTTCTGTTTCGACCAAAATTTCAATTTGAACCGATACTGAAATTTTGGTTTTAGTACTTTTTATAAATTTGGTAAGAAGCAAAATTTTAGTTGAAAAACTTACCAAAAACCAAAGTTTTAATTTTGTATGATTTTAAATTTTTATTTAATTTAGGCAATAATTTTTTTTGACAATTTCTTCAAAATATTTTACCATTTCTAAATGAAAATTTGAACCTATTGTTTACAAGTAACTTAACTTTTTAATTAGTAAACAGCACCTATCCATCTACTTCTTAAAAATATCAAAACCGCAAATAATCAAACTATTGCAGTGCACAAACTGTTTTAAATCTTGTTTGCATTTTGTTTGAAAAAAACAAACTTTGTTTAAATAGTTTAAATAGAAAATGAGACTTTGTGGCTTTTTTCAATTTTATTTTTCTGTGGTTAATAATTCAAACATTTATTTTATAGTTGTTTAAAATCATCTGGTTTTTTTAAAGTCAGTAAAGAATTAAATTACTTTACAATTTTCTTGAAAATCATAAAAAAAAAAGTTATATTGAAAGAAAAAAGATGCAATTTTATAAGATGGCTTTATTAATCTTTTATGTGTCATATTTAAATTTTATATCATCCTTTTATATCTTATTAATTTTTTTTATAATTGATTTTTAATAGTGTTTTAATTGCTAAAAAATTAAGTTTTAACTTAATTACAAATTATTTAAAACTTCATCCTTGACATAAATAGTTATTATGTACTAGTTTATTCTTTTTCTTTTAATTGTTAGAAAGCCACGAATTCCTGCATTCAACGTCAGACTGAACAATTTGTAAACAGCCTACAGGTATAAAATAAAGTACAGATATAAATTAAAGTACAGATATAAATTAAAGTACAGGTATAAATTAAAGTACAGGTATCAAATAAAGTACAGGTATAAATTAAATTACAGGTATAAAATAAATTACAGGTATAAAATAAAGTACTGGTATAAATTAAAGTACAGATATTAGTTTGCTGAACAAAGTTTGGCTGGCATCTAATTCTGACTATTAATTTCACAATGAAATTCGATTCATGCCAGTTTATTAAGTTTAATCTGTTGAGAGGCTTATACTGTTGTATAAGATCATCTTTTTTTGTTGTGTTTTTTAAACGTTTCCTACAAGTTAGATGCTTACAGAGAGCTTCATTGAACCTGCATTCATGTCATAGAGCTTCATTGAACCATTCATTCAAGACTTTTTCTATTATTAGATGTGATGTTCTGATTATTTTGCCGAAATATGTCTGGATAGTTAAAGTTATCTGTCACAATGAAACTAATATATGCCTTTTAATCGACTTAGTGTGTGGCGTAACCAAAAGTACAAATTATTTAATTTAATGTTACTGAATCAGTTGAGAAATAAAGACCTTGTCACTCAGAGCGATAAATACAATCTAATAGAAATTTTTCTGATAGTAAATTTATTTCAACCTAAAGTTGTTCAATTTCTTTGCTTTTCTTTATTTTCAGCTGCAGATTGCCTTGTTTACCTTTCATGACTGATTCTATCTTTTCTAAATAGTATGATGTTATCATTTGATGCCGCATAAGTAGACTTGAATTAAGTTTTAGTTATATATAAATAAAGATTTTTATGGAAGTATATGGTCCAGCTAATGCTTGCATTTGAAATTTTTTGACTAAGTAAAATTGAAATGGTGTAGGAACAATGAAGAGATAATTTTTAATGAAGGTGGTTTGTGTTTAACATAGATGTAAGTGTTGTGCATGCATATGCAACAGTCCCGCAGCTGCACAAACTTCTTTCCAGTAATCAGTCACATCCTGGAAAGTTGAAATTGAGAGTTAGCTTTGTTCTCAATTTGTTTCATAATCTATAATAGCTTACTATAGGTTAAATTAAATTTATACTAATTTATGCTGCTTAGTTGAAGCATTATTGTTTTTTTTTTACTGTTGTTTTGATAGGTTTCTTTTTGTTTGAATTTAGGCTGGATTTCCTTCTACTGTCAATACTATTTTTAGGTAAGTTATTTTTAATCTTTTGATTTTACAATATCAATTTAAGATATAATTCTGCTTTTTTAATTTTGAAGGACTGGTGACAAGCTGTGCCTGGACCAAGAATTTACTTTTTCACCTTGTTTGCTTTGTCAGGTAAAATTTTTTTATTTTAGGAACTGTAATTCTATTTAATGGTCCCTCTCTCTTTCCAATTTACACCTTGAAAATAACCCGAATTTAAAAACGATCATTTTTCATCATAAACACAAGTTGGTGTTCAGCCCTGTTTTGCTTCTTTTTTTACATTGTTTCTGGTTTGCTATCACAGTCTTCAAAACATGTATTTGTAATTATGAGAAAAATCAGTTTGTTAAAATTGAATTAAGCAAACCAGGATTTTTTAACAGGCTAAATTTAAAATTTTTGAAAAATTCCACTTCATTTTTACTTAAATCTCCAATGAAACTGGTTTTAATAAAGTGCAACTTGTTCATTTTCTCATTTATATATGCTAGAATCTTTCCTATTCAATCATTTCAATTTAAAAGTCCTATACAATCAATTTTGAATTAAAAAGTGTATCTGATTATTTCAATTTTTCAGCACTGTTTTGACATCTTCAGTTAATGCTTTCCAGCAATTTTATGTCTTAATAAAAGATGTCTTTCCATGGGATTACTTTTTTAATATTTTAGATAATGGTTTTAACATTAACAATACCATTTGGATGTTACTAAATGGCATGTTACTATTTGTATGTTGTACTTAGTACTCAGTTCTGTATACAATTCATTTTGAAATAAGATATGGTTTTAGGTGAAGATACTGAACAAAAAGTTCAAGCTTTTTTGATATAAATTGATATAATGGGGTTTCTGAAGTTTCTTATATTTATCTTATTGTTTTTAATAAATTTATATAGAATAAAGTTTCAAAGACTAGTAAATAAATTTCTTCCATCTCTGTTTTTAAAAATGTTAAATATCACAAGATATCATAATCAAAAAGTTTATATAAGATTGTGTTCTTGAGACAATTGCTTATTAATAAATAAAATAGAAATGACCAACTATCACTTGATTGTTTGGTCAATCAAGTGATAGTTTGTCATTTCTATTTTATTAGCAAAGTATTTGTTTATAAGAATTTTAATGGAACATAATGAGGTTTGTGTCAATGTAGTAACATTAAATAAATAATGAATATATTTGTTGAAATAATTATTATATATGGTTGAAACCTTAAAAATTTTGATTAGAAATTTTTTTAATCATTAAAAATATCACTTGATTCTGTTACTTTAATTAGAATAGGGTGGGGTAATGCTGGTCTAAGGGCTATTCTGGGTCTCATTATCCATAAAACCATTATCCATAGTTATATGGATAATGGTTTTATTGACAGAAGTTTTAATTTTCTGCACTTTATTATAATATTTAAAACTTTTAAATTTAAAATATAACCCAACTTTGCTGTTAGAAACATTAACCATGCTGTCATAAACATCAGCTTTGCTGTCAGAAACTTTTTTTAATTTAAATGTTAACTGCATTATAACAATCTCCGTTTTTAAACTTCCGAGTAAAAATAAATAAAACAATTGTAAGCATATGAAAAATAATTATTTTTAAAGCTAGCTTATTATTATTATTATTTTTTTTTTTTTACATCTTGCTTCCAACTGCAAGTACTACTATAAGAGTTGGAAATTACTGGAAGAGAAAAGATAAAGTTTGTAGAGCAAGATAACAATTGACAGACACCTTAAAAGATTGCAAATTATATGAATCAGGAAAGCAAGATAATGGAAGCGAATTCCAAAGAACTGATGTTCGAGGAAAAAAACTAGACGAATAAGAGTTTTTGGAGCTCCTAGAAACAGTCACAGAAAAAGGATGAGACTTAATTGAATGACAAGTAACACGAAAATGAATTTTAATAGATAGCACAAGATACGCTGGCTCTTTAGACCAGTGCCCATTATAGTATTTGTAGAAAAGAGAAAGAGAAGCAACATTACGACGATGTGATATTAGTTGGAGGTTGGCTGCAAGAGCAGGTCTATGTTTACAATGCATTTTTGCACCTTGTCGAAAAGAAAAAGGGCATCATTAGAAGATATGCCCCAGATATGGCAGCAGTATCCCATACAAGGACAGATTTGAGATTTATAAAGATAAATAATAGAATCCGAAGTAAGAAAGTGTTAAACTCAATAAAGAGATGCAACCTTAGCAGATGCTAAGGTAGCTTCGGCTACATAATGATGTATGTCTTTGCTTATTATTACTTATATTATGTTTAAACATTGGTGTCACTCCTTTGATCAGATTTCTGTATGAGTGACACCATCCTAAATAAATTATTAACTTATTATTATAAATAATTTTATACTCATAACTACCATTATAATTTTAGCTTTTATTATTATTTTTTTATTGTAGTTATTGTAAACATACTTATTACTATTACTGTAATTTGTATTATTTTTTTCTTATATTATTATAATATTATATTATTATTATTATTATTATTATTATTATTATTATTATTACTATTATTATTGTTATTATTGCTATTGTTAAAACTATTGTAAAAATGATTTACAGAAAATAAATAGCTTGTTGTTGTTGTTGTTGTTGTTGTTGTTGTTGTTGTTGTTGTTGTTGTTGTTGTTGTTGTTGTTGTTGTTGTTGTTGTTGTTGTTGTTGTAACTATTTATGTGTTTGTTTGAGCTTGAAGTGTTTTATACAACTTTGAAGTTTAAATAAGTTAGCAAGAGTTATTGTTATATTGTTTTATTTATTTATACAAATTTGTTTTGCTTTCTAATATTGTTTTCATAAACATTATTTTCAAAATTATTTTACAAAAAATGGAAGCCAAGAAGTTACAATAAAAAAAAAAGTCATTTACAATAGTGGAAAAGCCAATTACAATAGTGGACCTATTATGTCAGTTATTAATGTTAGTAGAAAAAGATTAAAGAAAAATGTTAGTATTAGTATTAATACTACATTACTATTTATGATTTTAAATGTTAGTATATCGTAAAAGCTATTATGTTATTATGTGAGAAACTTATAATGCTGCTAAGTAATGTTTTTTACCAACTCGGTGTAGTTAAGGGGATTTACAAATTATTCGAATTCTTTTATTTGGAATTAGCATGGTTTTATTAAACTATCATGTTCATTTCATCTAAATTATGTATTTATTTAAAATCTTATTCAAATTTGGACAAGCGATTGTGATTTTAAGAAGATTTAAAAAAAAAAAAAAAGAATCTTCGGTCTGGGTTTTTATGATACTGCCAAATTTATCATTTTAATTTTTTTCTTTTTTTTCATAATTCACAGACCTGATCATTTAAAGAAAATATGTCGAAGTCAATATCATACAGCCACTATAATACTTTAAATTTGCCTTAACTACACAGAGAAAGCAAACATTGAGATTAATAATAAAAAATAATAATTTTAATACAAACAAATATGAAGGTCGATAAAAAGTGTTGATTGATAACGATGAAGCTATTATTGTTGCAGCAGCTAAGTATTGTCAAAAAAAAATGGTCTTGTGCTAGATGCTCTTAACATTTGTAGTCTGGTAACCCAATTTTGCTCATTAACTAAGATAAAAAATTCTTTTTAAAAATGGAGTTCCTGGTAAAGATTGGATAATTTCTTTTAAAAAACTTTGTGTTGACAAACTGCAGTTTATGTAAACCTAAAATACTTACACTCTGAGAGCTAAGAGTTTAACTCAAAAAGTGTTTGATACATTTTTTTTTATTACATACATTTAATGATCATAACATTGTACCAAGTAGTATATAGAATCTTAGTGAAATTATTCTCTTCGCAAATCACTTAATGAAAAAAGTATTTGTACATCCAAAAAGTAAAGATAAATATGATCTGGTTGCTTCTTCTGGTAAAAGTATGTCTCCATTTTAACACACAGAACAGTACAGAGGTACTGTTCTGTGTGTTAAGATGGAAGATATACCACCATTTGTTATTTTTAAGGGTGAAGGTTATCTTTATTCTGAATGGGTAGAAAATGGACCACCAGGATGTGCATTTGGAGCAGAAAAAAAAAGTAAGGCAAGGCAAAGCAGGTTTCTCCTTGCTTTGCCTTGCCTTGCATGAATTAAACAAATTTGTTTCCTTTTTTGATATTGTTTTCATAAACTTTATTTTCAAAAGTATTTTACAAAAAAATGGAAGCCAAGAAGTTACAATAGTGAAAAAAGCCAGTTACAATAGTGGATCTATTATGTTAGCTATTAATGTTAGTAGAAAAAGATTAAAGAAAAAAGTTAGTATTAGTATTAATACTACATTACTATTTATAATTCTAAATGTTAGTATATCGTAAGAGCTATTATGTTAGTATGTGAGAAACTTAAAATGCTGCTAAAAAAAATTCTTTAAAAAACTACACTATACTATAAGATATAGACTATACTAGAATATACTACTAAAGACAGTACTATAAAAGCAACTGTGGATAACCATGTCCATATTATTTGTCTACCACCAACTGCTTGAATGCATTACATCCATTAGATGTGTCTGTCTTTGACACATCTAATGGATGTAAATATTCTTTGATTAACGCTACTGCTGGATTTCATGGTACAGGCATCTCATCATTAAGTAAAAAGATGGAAAGAAAAATAACATTGACATTCTCAATAAATCATCTGAGCATCATAGCCCTAAATCTCCAAGATTTAGGGCTATGATGCTGATGTCAAGCCCCAAGATCTGCTATGCAAGAAGCTTTAAAGTCGATCATGTCCTAATGTATCTGGAGAAACAGCAGCAATACTAGAACAACAAAAACAAAAAAGAAAGAGAGCAAAATATAATATACAATATAAGCATACAATCGTTTTTTAATTGTAAAAGTTTAAAATATTATTATGACTCCTTTATTACGTGTTGGTCTTTGCATCCCAACTAGAATTAACAACGTTACCATATTTATAAATATACAAGCAAAATATAGAGACCTCTTTACAAATATGAAAGTCAGCCAGCAGTTACTCAAGTAACAAACAGCTTGTGAAATTCAGAAAACAAATGAGCAAAAAAAAAGTACAAAAATCATACCTATTACTTTAGCAAGAGTGCTTAACCCAAAATAACATTTTACTATAAAAAGGCAGATATTGAAAAAACAGTTTTATTATGTAAAACATTGTTTATTCTGTTCAAAAACTCTATTTTTTTCATTTACTTTTTAAAGTTTTTACTTTTTATGTTGTATATGTATGCAGTTTTTTTTTTACTAAAGATATCATAAATATACTTTTTAAATTTAAATTCTAATTATTTATGTTTTTATATTATTATATCTTTATATTCTTATGTATTTATATTTTTATTATTTATCTATTTTGTTTTATTATATCTTTTAAATTAAAATTCTTATATATTTACTATAAGATGCCTTTGTAAAGAATGTTAGCCTAAAACAGATTTAGATTACCCGACCCTACCCTAATATGGTTTTCATTGATATTCACTCAACGTTATAGTTTATATATAGTTTAAATCAAAAATTGTATATGATAAAAAATATTACTATAAAATGATTATTGTATTTATTTCATTGATTGTTATTGTTAATATTGTTACCTAGAGGCCGAAAGATAGAATTGAAGAATTAGAAACAGGTTTTATGACAACTTTGATCTTTATTTTTCATGTCATGTGGATTGTATGTCAACTTTGGTGTTTTTTTTTTTGTGTCATGTGGATTTCTGTGTTCAAATATGTTATGATGGTTCTTATATTTATAGTAGAAAACTGTATTTAAGGTGAAAAAATAGAAACTGAAGTTGAACAAGATAAAAGAAATGATGTTATTGAACAGCGGCATAAAGTAATGGAAGAGAAAATGGAGAGTTTAAGTGGAGAAGAGAATCTGCGAGTAGACAGGTTACAAATATTTATAGTTGTTTAGTTTAAGTTTTTTGAATTTACTTTTAAAAATTACTAATAAGAAATTTAAAATAAAATTAGGATTTATTGTCAGTTTTACCCAAATAATGTTAATGCATAAAATGCCAGTATATAATAGTAACACCAGGTGAATTAGAGAGGTATGAGAATTTGAGTGAATTAGAGAGGTAAAAAAAAAAAATTTTTTTTTACAGTAAGAATAACATACATAAATTTAGACAGTGTAAAATAATTTTTTTTACAACAATAAGACCTCTCCTTAATTTTCTAAATCTAAAACTCTAAAGTGGTTCAAATATTGTAATGTTTTCTTTTTAATCTTACATTTTTACTTTACTTTTTGAAGTAAAATATTAAAAGAAATATCTTAATAGTATTAAATATGCTCATTACACTATAACTGCAACTTAGACTTTAAATTATAACTTAAATTAAGTTGTATATTGTAAATTACTGTAATATATATATATATATATGTATATATATATATATATATATATATATATATATATATATATATATATATATATACATATATATATATACATATATATATATATATATATATATATATATATATGTATATATATATATATATATATATATATATATATATATATATATATATATATATATATATATATAAATTAGTAGAAAATCACTTAACAAAAATTTTTTTTCATTTTACACTGTTTCATCAACAAAGACTCATCAGAAATGCTTTTGTTTATATATATAATATATATATATATATGTATATATATATATATATATATATATATATATATATATATATATATATATATATATATAATATATATGTATATATATATATATATATATATATATATATATATATATATATATACATATAAATATATATGTATATATATATATATATATATATATATATATACATATATATATATATATATATATATATATATATATATATATATATATATATATATATATATATATATATATATATATATATATATATATATATATATATATATATATATATATATATATAAACAAAAGAATTTTAGTCTTTTACAATTCTTTTATTCAAATAAATTTGCGATTGAAATTAAAAAAAAATTGGAAATTTTTGTAAATTGTAAATTTCGTAAATGTTTTGAATAGTTAATTATATTTTGTTTCTTAAAAATAGTTTCAAAAAAAGAAACATTCGATTGCAAACATTAAACTAGTGATTGCAAAAGTTAATATAAAAAAAATATATATATATAAAAAATTTAAATTAAAGTTGATAAATTGTTTTAAATCTGTTCAAAGAAATTTTTTTAAGAATATGTTTATATTATTTTTGTTCAAACAAAAATAATATAAGAATATTCTTAATCTTAAGGTAATTCGATATATTAAACTAAATTTTTTTTGTTTCACTTTTTATTGGAAAACAATTTGAATAAAAAAATTGAATGAAAACATCAATTTAAAAACCATTTAAATGAAAAACTTGTATTTTTAATAGTACGCTAGATCAAAGAAATAATAAATTATAAAAAACGTGGTATTTAGTGTTTTTGTTTGGTCTATAAATTGTAGACTCGTATTGTCTATAGGCATGTTTTTGTGCAAATATAAGTTTTATGATGATTATATTTTAATTTATAAATTAGAACAATTCTATTTATTTGCTTTTTTTATTTTAAACGCGTTTTATATTATTATAGTTATAAACAATATAAAACAGCACAAAACAGCTTCACGAAGTTGTTTTACATTAACACAAGTTCTTTATATTTTTAAAAACAACTGCAGTTTTATTTTTGTTTTATAGCTTTTTACAATAACACATACATGCGTTTTTCATATTCTACTCAACAATTTTTGTTAAAATAATTTTTAGTTAGAAGCTTATATTATGTGTTAACAACATATAAGATATAAATAGAAATATTTTTATGGCTGATTTTAGCGAGTCAGAGTATATTAAGTAAATTGATATAATTCATAGGTTTGTATTTGAGTAACTGCAAGTTACTGTAGTTACTTAACTGGTTGTTTTGATTTAGTTTATTTGAGTTTATTAAGTAAATTTACTGTGATGTGCTTTATTTATATATATATATATATATATATATATATATATATATATATATATATATATATATATATATATATATATATATATATATATATATATATATATATATATATATTTATATATATATATATATATATTTATATATATATATCAGGGCTCGAATTAAGCGTATTGGAATCACGATTGCATTTCACACCTTCGCGATCAGTTTTTTCTTAAAAAAAATATTTTAGCAATTTGTTTTTCTTTTAGTTGTTTATTTACTTTTTTTCTAATTTGGCATTTTTTGGCAATTCTTGAAAGTAATGTTTTTGTCATAAAGTACGTAACGCTAAATTTATCTTTTAAATAGAAGCAAGATCATTTGCTCTTTCGCGCAAAGATTTTCATTCAATGTAAAGCACATTTCACTTTGAATTACTTTAAATCTCTGCAAGGAAGCACTTTTAATATTTTTAACTTATTAACTTTTTTTAAAGAATTTTCTTAATTTTGAAAATATAAATGGTTTTGTATTATACAACAGTTTTATTTTTATAACAGTTCTTTAAATATACTTGATAGCGAGGTTATCAATATTCCCTTGAAATTTTGTAAAAAATAAATACATTTTTAACGTATAGAGTTGAATTCATATATAGAAGTTTAATTTATATATATATATATATAATATATATATATATATATATATATATATATATATATATATATATATATATATATATATATATATATATATATATATATATATACACTCCGATTCGGCATTTACAAGGACATGTTTTATATATATGCAACCCTCAGAATTAGGATCGGCATTTGGCAATGTCAACCTGACTGCCGACCTAGAAGTGTTTGGCAAAAATTTACCAATCTTGTTTCTATTTTTTATGGTCAAACCTTTGTTTAACATTTTTTCTGCCGACCTGATGCCGACCTCACACAGATTAAGTTTGGCAAATTATTGCCGACCTGGTTTTTCCTAATTGCGAGGGAACTCCAACAAATAAGCTACGTTTTTATGTTGTCTAAAAGTCAAAGCAATTAAAATAATGTGGAAGTACATTAAGTTTAATTGTTTTTTAAAAAACCGCAATAATAATGACTAGAAAGTTTTTCAGTTAATAGTGTTTTTGTTTTTTAAAAATATTTTTTTTAAAACATGTGCAGAGTGTTGCTGCATCGACTATCTTATAGCCTGCTGTTACAAGGGAGTGTTTCTTAATCGACTATCTAATAGCCTGACTTGCAACAGAGTGGTGCTACATTGGCTGAGGGTTTGGTTAAAGCAGGCAGTTTATTATTTAAGAAAGAAAAAAAAATTATATATATATATATATATATATATATATATATATATATATATATATATATATATATATATATATAATAAATATAATACTTTTTTTATAAACAGTAAAAACAACGCTGGTCTAAAGAATTATTTCATGCTGCAATTAATGACACTTGTTATGTTATATATACTTGTAATATTGATGTAACAAGCATATGCTTGAAATGGTACGACATATCTATGAAAGTGTAAACTTATGTTAATATATTTTATAAAAAAAGAAAAATGAATGTTTATATTTTTGCATATGCAAACATTGGCGTTTGCTTAAAATTTTTAAAAACACACAAATCACTTCAGCAATTTTTTTTTCCAAATAATTATACGTTTGATAGTTTTTTATTTATTATAAAAAATACATATTTATTATAAAAAAAAACTACAAAAAAAAGTTACTAAAATTTAAAACACATTTTAAAGATTTAAATAGAAATCATGCAATCACAGAAACATAGAATCATAGAAACATGATTATTTCTTTCAATAGTGTTACTATTAAGTAAAATAACTAAGTATGTTAACAAAGAAGTAATTATGTTTAGCATGGTTTTTGCAATAAAAGCATGCAAAGTTTTATATCAATCCATTTGTAATTACTTTTAAAAAAACCACATTTAAACATTATCAATTGCATATTAAAAACATTTTTAAAATGTTTGAAAAGAATAATTAAGTTTTGCTGAAATATATACAATCTAATAGATTTTTTTTTATTTGTAAATAAACTTAGCAAACTAAATTGAGAAAAGTTCAATTCTAATTCAAAGTAATGGATAACAAATTTAATATTAATGGATAACAATTTGCAATTGTTAGGTCATTGTATATTAATTATCATTAATTTGCGCGCACTTTGCAAATGCATAAAAAAATGTTTTGAAGAAATAAAAATCAATTAAGTTCAATTAGCATCATTGATATATCGAATAACTTTAACTAAAATAAAAATAATTTGAAAATAAAACTTCCTTATCTATCTCTTATATATCTCTTAAATTAGATGTTTGTCATTAAATAAAGATATGAATGTCAACATTTATTAAAAAGCAATTTGTTGCGCCCTGGGCTTGTCACAAGTATAAAACCAAAATTTTGTAACAAATAAGCAATTTTTTAATAAATCAACAGATAGCTCTACTAAGAACCAGTTTAAAGGAGCAGCTCGCATAGCTTGCCATGTTCGTTTTAGGAGAGCTTTTGGCTGCTCTCGCACTGATTTCTTAACACAGACGCCTGTATATATATATATATATATATATATATATATATATATATATACATATATATATATATATATATATATATATATATATATATATATATATATATATATATATATATATATATATATATATATATATATATATATATAAATATATATATGTGTGTGTGTGTGTGTGTGTGTATATACATATATCTATCTATCTATTTATATATATAATATATATATATATATATATATATATATATATTTATATATATATATATATATATATATATATATATATATATATATATATATATATATATATATATATGTATATA